ATCTAGTACAGGTGTCTCTGTATTGCTTTCTCCCGTAGGCTCTTCTTCCTTCCCTCTAATCTTCCCTCCTCCTTCTACTATCCAGGAATTGATCAGGGAAGCAAAGTATAAAAATGAATCAATGAATTCTCTGTATCTCTCTGTCTGTCTGTCTGTCTGTCTGTCTGTCTGTCTGTCTGTCTGTCTGTCTGTCTCTCCCTCTCCCTCTACCCCCACAAACCACACAGAAAAAGTAACCAGCAACTTTTGCTACTGCTTTTTCTAGTAAGAAGAGCTTGAATGAAACTACTTATACTCAGACCATCTTTTATAGACTTTTTTTTGGTGGAGCCAGGGGTTGAACTGAGGCCCTTGCGCTTGCTAGGGAAGCACTTATTCCACTGAGCCATCTCCCCAGCCCCCCATCTTTTATAGACTTAATGCTATTAAAATTTATGCAAAAATCTGACCATTACAGATTTAACTCAGAGAAGTCTGCATTAACTCACACATTTCAGAGTACTATAGGTGAGTAGGTATCAAGATGTACTATAGGACTTCATTCTTTTTCTATTGATTGATTCCTTCATTTATGGACAGGTCCATCATTTACTGGATTTTGTCTAAGCTGGACACTGGGAAAAGATGAAAACGTTAATTCTCTTGAAGAGCACATAGACCAGAGGTAGAAACAGATATGGACTCAGTGCCTTAATTAGCAGGTTCCTTAAGGTGTCACAAACAAAGCAGGATGTAGAAATAAGAAACAGATATGCAGCAGTGCTATACCCAGGGTATGCTGACAGGTTATATTCAGGCTAGTAGTGGCTAGATTTGTTTGTTTGATACAAGGTCTTGGGCATGGTATTTAGTACCGGGGATTGAATTTCGGGCCTTGAACTTAAGGCCTTGCACTTGCCAGGCAGGTGCTTATGCCGCCAAGCTATCTCTCCAGCCCCAGTAGTGGGTAGATTTGAAAAGCATAAAACTTTGGTCTCCAAAACACTTCATGATGTTAATGTGTTATCAGCAGGCATGGAGACTAGAAAATCAGACCAACTCATAAAGTGATCTCTGTATTACAAACCTTATAAAACTGTCTCGCAATGTCTGGTGGGATTGGCTCCAGAAGCCCCATAGATGGCAAAACCCAGGGATGCTCAAATTCCTTAAAAGGCTATAGTATTTGCGCATAACCTACATCCATCTTCCATTCCCTTAAAATCATCTGTACGTTACTCACAGGACCTAATTCATGCAAGTGCTAGGTCAGTAGGTACACTACATTGTTTAGACAATAGTGGCAGGAAAGTAGTTTGTGCATGTTGAGTACAGGTGCATGCGGGGGGCTGGCTCAGCCCACCCTGAGGGTGGGGCTGGCACAGCATGTGGTGCCGGGGCTGGAATCATGGACCGTGCACAGGCCTAAGCTTGCTTAAGCAGGCACTTGAGACCGCTGAGCTATCTCGCCAACCCACAGGTGCAATTTTTGAAGTAATACTTTGAACGAACTGGTTCAGCTCATGGGCCTGGAATCCCTGGATACAGAGGCCCTACTGCAGCTGAACTGGAAACTCACTGGCAGGTGGGTGTACTGTGGAAGAGAAAGGCAGCCGCTGTGCCACACATGGAACTCTCCTAAGTATCCAGACACCGTACTGATAAAAGTGGAAGAGAAAATCATCCAAGAGTTAAGGGCGTTGCCCCTAGAAGCTTGGTTGGAGGAGCTCATGTGAGAATGCCTGTTTGCTCTTTTTTTTAGTCATTGCTGCAGCTAATTGTTTTAAGGTGCTGCTGTTAATTATAACTCTTGGCACAGTGTGGCTTTGGGCTGTATTCAAATCCATGGTTTTTTTTTTTTTTTTTTTTTTTTTTTTTTTTTGGTTTTTTTTTTTTTTTTTTTTTTCTTATTTTCTCCAGAACACCACATTTTTCTTTTCTGGGGCAGAGATGGGTTCTCATTCTAAATGAGACGCACACTTGTTACATATTTATCATCTTTTAATTGGCAAGAGTTAAAGAAACCACAATCCCCCAAACACAATGCAATGTCTATGATGGTATGAATTTGTAAAGCGTGGGTCTTTTTCCCAGTCTTTGCAGGCTACAAACCCGAAAATGTAATCACACAGGGTGGGCATTTCTTATTTCTTGTTCTCTGTCACATGACCTTGTCCTAGCTCACTTTCTAGGCTCCTGGCCTGCTCTCCTGTAGCCTTCATTTTCTATGAGAGCAAAGCATAAACATATAAACTTATCCTGTTGTCAGTCTTCCCTTGAGCCTTTACCCTCAAGGATTCCTTTAAGCATTGCTGCCGAGGTAGGAAGACTGTTCCAGGCCAGTGCTTGTGTCTGGAGCAAAACCTTTCAGCGTCTTTGTGTTTTGTTTTCCAAGTGGCGGTGTTAGATCTTGGGGTCCTGCGACCGCTTAGTTTTCTGCTCCATTTCTTCTCTGTTTAGATACTGCTGTGCCACATCCTACATACTAATTACTGACTTTTTGCCTGTGCCATGCTTGATTCATTGTGTCACATTTTCCCATGTGAAAGTGGACCGTCTTCCCATTGGCAAGCCGGTTAATGGATTTCAGAGTCACTCTCACTTAACCCAGGAAGTCACAGGAAAATAAGAACCAGTGGCTGACCCACTTTAGCAGCTAACCCATGGCCAGCATCAGTTACAGATGGATGATGGGCATCACCATGGTTACAAGCATGACAATGTGAACAGGCTTGAACACAGGCAGTCTTGTTTCCTGACTTTAAACCTCAGAGGTAGAGTAGAAATAGTTCAGGATGGGGACAGTCCTTTTGGGTATCAGTTAAATTCTGTTACAAATTAGGATACATGAACTTTCAATAGTATTGCATCCTCTTTTCATATCTCAGGTCCCTCAGTTTTAAAAATGAGGAGATTGGACCAAAGATGTTAACATCCTTTGTGGGTCAAGAGTTTGTGATTTTAAATATCTGTTCATTTACTCAGAAGCCATTTATTTACCCTTGTTATATTGAAGCCATTGTCCTAAGGCCCATATGTATGATCCTGAAATCTAAACAAGGAAAAAATTTTTATTTTCTCTCTGAGGACCTTAGTGAGGTAGGCTTCTATTTAACACACATATTACAATATTTTGTTAAACTTTTTTTAAAAGGTTTTCTCTTAAGATACACAGGATACAGAACCAATCTTAGTGCTAAGAGAAGTTGCTGGTAATTAGTCTCAGGGGATATTGGAACAAACCTGCTTACCTTGTTTAAATAAAGTCTTCAGTTAAGCTGTGTGAGTGAGGATTTCCCATATGAAATGGTGTCACCAAAGTGCTCTGCTCCCTTTTATCACTGTGAAGTAACTGATACATGTCGAATATGATTCCTTCTTCATAGGTTACCTGCCCCAGTTCTCTCTCAATGAGTACTTTAGAACCATGTGTTGCACTGCAGTTGACTAGATAAACTATCAAGTTTAGGCAAGGCCCTGGTTAAAGTTCTTTTGCCTGGGGAATATGTATAATTTCTCTCATAGCAGTCCTCTTAACTATTTGAGCATTACTGTGGATATAGTGATCGAGAAAGTACAAATTTTTACTGAAGCTTATTTTGGCTCTTCACTTGGAAGTTCAAAATGGGAAGAATCTCTTTGCATTGCCAACTGTCACATTGTTGAAATGTTTTTTTTATTAGAGTGTTACAGGTATCCTTCAAACTGGCTTAGACCAAGAAAATTTCCTCTTTCTTCTCCCAGACTGATTCTTCCACTTGATAGCAATTTAGGCCACAGGCTCTTAGTGTATAAAAGATTTATAATGTTATCTTATTATTTTTAAATGAACCATGATGCTATTAGTGATTAGTTGTTGTATTTTGTGATAATCACCACCATCATTCGCATTTTGGACACCCTGACATCAGTGAGAATAGGCGTTTTTATGAATAGTCTGGTGCAGCCCTCATCAGTTGAAGGGCAGAAGGCCATATCTGGGCTCCTGAAACCCCTTGCCTAGTGCTGGGATCTCAACATCTGTATCTCTGACATTTCTCCCACTATGCTACAGCAGTTCCCATTAGTTACCTATAAACAATGCAACCCTCAACATGCATGTTGAACTGTAGAGGTACATTTATTTGTACACTTCTGTTCATTTAATTCTTTTCTCTCATTGCTGAGACAAAATACTCAGCACAAAGTTAAAGGGGGAAAGGTTTATTTCACTCACAGTTTGTAGAGATTTCAGTCTATAACAGGCTGGTACCAAGGCAGAGTGGCGCGTGGAAGCGGGGCAACAGTTCATAGCAGTGGCAGACAGGAAAATCAACCAGAGCAGAAGGGGGAAGCCAGCTTCTTTCTACTTCTGTCTGATCTGGACTGCTGTTTTGGGGCAGTGCCAGTTCAATCAGTGGACAAAGTGGCAATCACTGACTCTTAATCCCACCACCCTGAATGCCAGCATCGCACTATGAATTACTCACAGACTGCATATTCAGCTTCCTCTGAAAAAACCTCCCCGCTGACTGCAGAAAGCCTTGGGGGGACATCCAGGCCAAAACCATAACATTTGCTATCACCAACATGTTGTACTTATGCATCATAATTCGTTTTCCAAAGAGGTCTGTAACTGTTAATTTATGAGAGTCCCACAGTAGTGCTGGGAGCCGGAATAACATTTGTATATCCATTTTTCAGAAGATAAGATAGAGATTGCATAAATTATTTATTTTCCTGCCCATAGAGAAGGATCCCTGGGTGTGGAGTCCATTGCTTTAGAGTTGCTTCATGTGTCTGGGTGAAGCTGATGCTGGGCTCGTGTGTACAAGACTGAGAGGAGCATCGACATCAGCAGCCTTCTATCGTATATTTATATTGTTATTTCAGGTCTTTTATTGCTGCCTTCTTTGCTTTTTGCTTTCTTTGCCAAGTGGGCCCATCTTGCTTCCTAGAGCTGCAGAGAATAATAGAGACTCTGAGAGCTTCCAGAGGGATATTTCAGTTCTGGGTGTGATGATACGTTCTTTTCTCCCCAGGCCCACCGTCTGCTCCCCTCAACTTGATTTCAAATGTCAACGAGACATCAGTAAACTTGGAATGGAGCAGTCCCCAGAGCACAGGTGGCCGCCAGGACATTTCGTACAACGTGGTCTGCAAGAAGTGTGGAGCTGGTGACCCCAGCAAGTGCCGACCCTGCGGAAGTGGGGTGCACTACACCCCGCAGCAGAATGGCCTGAGAACAACGAAAGTCTCCATCACCGACCTCCTTGCACACACCAACTACACCTTTGAGATCTGGGCCGTGAATGGAGTCTCCAAGTATAATCCTAGCCCAGACCAATCAGTATCCGTCACTGTCACAACCAACCAAGCAGGTAGGAACCTAGTCCTTTCTATTTCATGATCTGATAGTGTACAGAGAAAGGTTTATGGTGATTGCTAGCAGCATTAATGTTCTGCAGGAGAAATGGCACCAGTGATAAACATAGAAATTATGTTGAATGTGAAATATACTTACAAAGACATGTATTCATTCTGCAAATACGACTTTTTTGGGAGGGGGGCAGTAACGGAGCTCTAGTTACACAGAATTCCTGTACCAGAGAGTGGAGGTGAAATCATAAGACAGTATCTGGCTGCAGAAGGGCAAACTCTGGTGAGCTCAGTCCCTCAGAGCTGAGCTTCGTGCCTGCCATGTTAATCACAAAGCTCACGGCTGGTCATCAGAGCTCCTACAGATTGCATAGGACAGTAAGGTTGATGTCTATGAATGCAGAGTTCTGAGCTGGCATTTGCTTGTATGTTCTCACAGATGCGCTTGCAGCTGTAGCTTGGTCTTGTTCTCGAATGTAACATGTTACAAATAACCAACAGGGACATTATTAGAAGCATGATGCAGATACTTGGGTCACTAGCAAAGTGTACCTTGGAACAGTAATTTTGCAGCCGCTTTTATGGTTGGAATCGATCACTGACTTTGGAATAAGGGGATGGCTGATCCACTCCGTGTCTTAATCTTTTCTTTTTTTTTAATACAGAAGACTGGAAAGCATTTCTATTTTTGAAGTTTCTCCTGAGTTAATCACAGAGCTATCACAAAATTTTGAATGTCAAATATTTTTACAATCTGGCTTTTGAGGTTCTGCTTCCTGATCTTCTCATCTATATTTATTTCCCGAAAATATTTCCATATTACATGCTTACCATGGCTGGCTCCTTATTATTTTTAATGTGAGAGAGGGAGAGATAGAGACAGAGACAGAGACAGAGACACAAAGAGAGAGAGAGAGACAGAGATAGAGAGGGATGGGGAGAGATAGAGACAGAGAGAAACAGCACACACCGGTTTATCCTTTTGTGATGCTCTTTAGTTCAGGCTGGACTTGAACTCACTTTGTAGCCCAGGCTGGCCTTAAACTCACTAGAGAGATCCTCCTGCCTCAGCCTCCAAGTGTTGGGATTATATACATGTGCCACCACACCCTGCTTTGACACTTCATTCTTAAGGAATATTTTAGTAAATGTACTGGAGTTAAGGAAAATACCTGTACTAATTGATGCATATTGAAAAGGATTCCCTAGACCCATGCAAAGTAATTATTTCTTGATTTTTCTATTGAATTTTGTACAATAAAAAAAATTTCTTTTTGAAGTGAAGACTTGAAGAATATTCTGAACAGGGCCTGGAAGAGCAGATTTTACTAAGGAATTTTCAGCTATACAACACGAAGCAGTTGTTCCCCATGTATAGCGTGAGCAGATCATTTGTCTTTTGTCTTTTAATTTTGCACTTTTAAATTATGAAAACTGTCAGTGATCATTAGTTTTATTGTTTTCTACAAAGACAAGATTAACTTAGTAGCCTTTTGTTTTTTAAACAGTTTGGCAAGCAAGCAACAGTTGCCACCCTTGTATCAGTGCCCAATGGAGACAACACACACACACACACACACACACACCCCTCCCTGGACCTTGCATTGGTGCTTCTGCTGTCAGAGTTGGAAGGATCCCTTGTGGTTCAGGACTGTTTGTGTATCTCTGGAGCATGTAGTTTATGACCTAGTCAGTGTTCTCATATTCAGCCCCTTAAACGTTTTTGACTATCCTCAAACATCCAAGAACATTGTCTCCTAATGCAATGAAAACTAGGATTGGAACTGTGGAGGATTTTGCTATGCAACGTGACCTCTGGTCATTCTGTCTCTGGTCATCCTGTGTGGCAGCAGAAAGCCCTTGGGAGATGGGCTGAACAGAGGCTTTGCTCCCACAGATTTTAGGTGGAAGCTTCCATGATTCTTTATGTACTTAAGACTCAAGTCAAGAGATTATATCCACCTGTGCCAGGCAGGCAGGTCCCGAGAGCAGAGAAGACACTCTAAACATCCTCTAAAAGAAGATTTGCAAAAACATTCCTAGAGAAGCAAGAAGAAAAAGAAAAAGAGAGAAGTTAAGGATGCTATTAAAAATATAGTAGATCTAGCAGAAAAGCAGACAGGTAATTCCTTTGACAAAATGACTTTTTCCCTCTCTGCTGTGGAGTGCCCACCTACTGGGAGGTTTGCTGATTAGGACAAAATTTCTTCTCCTTATTTTAATTTTTGTGAAGGGTAATGCTGGGAAGCTGCACAAAATTAAAAATAAATCTTTCAATAAGGAGATCTCCTGTGTGGCCAGACAGAAAGCTTCTCACTTAGCAGAGAATTATACGTGTGCACAGTGCTGCTTCATTTTCCATTCCGTAATTCGAAGTTCACAAATTCAAAATCACTGGAACAGTTATCTTTGATTAACAAACCCTTTCTTCATAATAATACAAATTAATAATGTAGGCTAAAATTCTGGGTGAACGCAGCAACCATAAACTCTTATCAAGGCTCCCCTAAGTATATTTACATAAACACAATTATGTTCTAATTGCGGTTGTTCCTGTCATTCCATTACATTAAATTCCTTAAGGACCTCTATTGGCGATGATGTCTCATACGTAGAATTAATGAATGTTAGCAGCGAGGACCTGGAGGGCAAAGAGGGTCATGGTTCTTTTCTACCTTTGCTCTGTGTTTGTGAAGTTTTTTCTCTCCTCCATAATATATTAAAACACAGAACCATATGCACAAATCCTCCAAGGAGTTTTCTTCCTGTGGTCACCACTATGAAGACTGGAAGAGGTGAGCTCTACATCTGAAAGTGAAGTGATCCCACCAGAGACCCTGAAGAACTCTCCTACAAAAACTTTCCTTCAAAATTATGAGTTAATTCATTGTATTGAGCTTGGAATTCTTCCTATTCCTATCCCATACCAACCTGTATGAGTGTCTGCGCAGTAGAGATTCAAGTTTCATAGGGCTTTGGTCATCCAGTGGCAGAAACTGAAGTGAACAGGCGTGTGTTCTTGGCTGTGGAAACCATTCTTAGGCAGTTCTTCTCTTGAGGAGGCAGTAGCACTCCTTCGCTCCCCTCGTAGGCGCTGTGGCCACTCATTCACGTAGAAGACACAGAAGATCGGGGTACCTGTCACCTTCATTGCTGATAAGTGGATTGAGGATTGTGATCTTTGTGTCTGTGGCCCTGAAGTCTTCTTTAAGTGACCCTTGGGACCCAGTTGCTGGCACCAGAGTCCTTGCAAGGACAAAGCTTGCCCTGCTGGTGTGGTGAGCTGGGTGTTCTACACAGGTCAGAAGGCAGACGTGAGCAAAGCAGGCTAAGCTGGGGATGTCACAAGTGTGATGGAAAATACGACAAATATCTAAATTTTTAAAAAATTTATTACTGTAAAATACACATTGCTGTGAATCCCCCTAGCTGTGCCTCTCCCACTAAATAAATTCACTTCTCCCATTATTCTTGCACCTCTCTGAAGTAGTTTTAGAAGCTTTCTGCATGTCTTTGCATTGTTGTGGCTATCTTGAGGTCCTGAATTGATTCAAGACTCTCATTTTTACTTGGGGAAGATAAAGAAGGTGCACAATGCCAAGTCTAGGGAATAAAGTGGTGGAGAGCAAACTGTAACGTTTTTAGCAGCCTGTGTTTTATTGAACTGAACTTAGCAACAGCATTCACCCTATTTTTGATCATGCCTCAGAGACACAAACACAAAAGAGAACTTCCAGCAGTGCCTTAAAAAAAGAGTCAAGAATACTGGGTGTGCTTGAAGTGGGGGGAGGGCGTTAAGAAAGAGTAACGGCAATATCATTCACTGTAGTACTCTGTTTTTTTTTTAAATTAAACATACACTATGCGCCATTCTGATGACATCTTGTAGTACTTTGTCGGATTCTCTGCTGGGGCGTCACACCTCCCCCAACTCCCATGCCAGTGAGGGAGAAGGGAGAAGAGATAAGACGGAGGGGGCTGTCTCTAGCTGAAGTTACTACAACGCGAGAAACCCTGAGACGGAAGCTCTTCCCTCGCTCCCTGTCCTTCATTACAGGCAAAAGGAACAAAATGAGACCCAACCTCACCTGCATCTTCCTCTGTAGCAACTTTTGTATCTTTTGTTTAAGAGGAGACAATCCTGATGTTTATGAAACATGGCCAAGCCAGGGCCTGGGAGGATTGTTTTCCGGATGGCTTTGCTTCTTCCGGGTACTTTTCCTTAAGCGGACCATCATAGGCAAATGAGTGCAGCATGTGTTCCTCTGAAAGCGAAATCCTGTGTAAAGGAAACAAGCTTTTCTGGCCAAGCAGCAGAACTGTGAATATTTTCCCCCACAAAGCTGTGACAGCAGCCAGCTTTCATTTACTGAGGTGTTTTTCACCACACATCACTCAGGTGCCGCGGCTTGGACTTGCAGCCATGAGACCAGCTCATTCCCCTGAAGCGCTTGTTTTCAGTCGTCATGAGTCTCTCCTCTGAGTAATGATCCCTGCTAGCCCCAAACTGCACCCTCAGGAAGTATCCATTTTGGATTTTCATTTTGTCTGTGACAGTGTTCTAGATACTTTCTAACAGGAGAGACCTGATCATCGCTCTCTAGTGCAGTGACAGTGTCCTCATGACAGAGTGTCGTAGTCACTTTCCTATTCCAGAGACACCTTAGCTGATGCTTACAACTTAAAGGAGGAGAGGTTTCTTTTGGGTCTGGTTTGCAGTCAGTCCATGGTTAGCTGGCTCTGCAAAGCCATGAATCTGGTGGAGGAAAGTTGCTTTAAGAAGCAGAGAGAGCAGGCCCAGGGAGATGGCTCAGTAGAAAAAGCTCTTGCCTGCCAAGCGCAAGGGCCTGAGTTCAATCCTCAGTTCCAAAAGAAGCAGAGTGAGGAGAGGGCTGGAGCTGGGAACGTAGAGATGCACCCGCCAGGTCCTTGCTACCTCTGCCAGTCAGTCCTTCTCCTGACAGTGACTTTTGCTTTCGGTTCATCTAGTGGCACCTGCCAA